CGGGTCGATGCCGGGCCGAGTTTTTAAATACTGGTTTAAGCCTGTTAAACACTCAACAAGTAAAAGAATAACTAAGATAATAGGGAAAAAAGTGTGTCATTTTAAATGACACATCTTACGTCATTTTACTATCACAAAGAAGTGAAATTCACATCTTTAAAACTTTTTTCCCACTCTCTCTTCCATGATTTATCTCATTCTCTTATTTAAAATGACACAACTTTGTGTTCTTTTAAATGATACACACTTTCCCCAAAATAATGTTACTTTATTATTCAAAATTATTGAAAAAATAATTTTATTTATTTTCTTTAAATAAATAATATGATATAAGCCGACCTATAGACTTATAGACCCGACATATATAAAAAGGCCTATGACCTGTTTTCTAAATAGGTTTATTTAAAAGACTAAGCCTATTCTATTTTACTATTTGTAATAGACCAAGTCTGACCTAATATAGGCTAGGCCGTAGGCCGACCTAGCCCATTTACACCCGTAGTGATAACTATAGCTTAAAAATTCAGAATCTGCCTTTGATGGGAAAAAATTTGATATGGTCCAAAACTTTGATGATCCCTCCAGTAAAAGTATGACACTTGAATCAATTTTTTTTTCTCTACTCTCTCCTTCTCAGCTTCTTCTCAATTTCTTTCTCTTATGTCCCACCAATTGCACTAAATTCCTGCTCGTTTGATGGGTAGGCAGTGACTTGCCCTAGCTATCTAGGCTACCACCCAAATCTCTCTCTCTCTCCTAGAAAAAAAATATCTTATAACTTCTGGTCACTTTTCATTAAACTTAAAAAAATAAGAGTATGTTATAAAAAAAAAAAAAAAATAAGAGTAAAATTCTTTTTTGGGTTCATACAAAAAATATGATCCTCACTTTAGTCTCTTACAAAAAAAATTTAATGATTTGGTTCCTATGAAATTCAAAGTGAACCTATTTTAGTCTTTTAAGGGACTAATATGGGTCTTTTTTAAATTTATGAGGGATCACGATTATAACTAAATGCATCCATTTTGAATTTTTTAGGGACCTCGAAACAAATTTTTTTTTGTAAGGGACTAAAGTGAGGATCATGTTTTTTGTTAGATTCGTAAGAGGACTTTACTCAAAAATAAATGGAGAACGATCTGTTTACAAACTTTTTTTACAAATTACATTATATATTTCCAGGAGAACATAGTATAACCTAGTGTTCTCCCTTCCAGAAAAACATAATGTAGTTTGTAAGAGTTTGTAAACAAAAAGTTTATAAATATAACCCTCTCAAAATGAATTGGTTTTTGTCAAAATATTGTTACATACTTACATTTTTAAAGTGTGAGAGTAATATCTTAAAATAAAAAAATAATATACGTAGATAGTTTTCATAATTAATATTTATAAAAGCTCAAACTTTTTATCGTGTAGTTGGCTCCAAAACATATTATGGTTATTTCAAGGGCACTGGATCTACAGTAGTATAAGAATAAAAGTCATTTATATATCTACGTGCATATATACTAATTGTAATTTATTAAGTTATTAATTGATAAATATAATTCAATAAATTATATAACCATCAAATAAATACACATAAAATAATGACAGATTGGATGTAAATTTTTACTTTTTAATTTTTACTCCTGTATACATTTGGTCACGCCCCTATTACAAAATTTGTTAGTATTTATAACTAATATAACCACATTAATCCGGTAGTAATGCTACATGTTACAAAAAATTTATGTGACAGATTTGCTATATCATAAAACGGTTCCATTATTTAGTATGAGAAATTTTATATAAAATTGTCAAACTTATCTTAAATGTATTAAATAAGTGAAAAATTCTCACATACTAGTTTCTATTAAATATATGTCAAGAGTTGTTATAACAAAATATATATATATATATATATATATATATATATATATATATATATATATATATATATATGTCAAGAGTTATACAACAATTTTTTCAATCGATAATCCATTTTTTCATATTACAGATTCATGTCATGTCATTCATATTCATTAATTTCTCGTAAAAATTATAGTGTCATTTACCGTTTTGTTATAAATCTGCCCGATGTTATACATAATTGCAAGCTAAAAAAAAGCAAAGAAGGTAACATTGATTGAGTATTGACAGTCTGATTCTGAATCTCAAAATCTGAATTCTGAAGAATAGAAGAGAACATGGTAAAAAAAATAGTTCAAGATTGGCACTTTCCATGAAATAGAAGAGAACATGGGTGGGGCACTTAGGGACAAAATTCCAAAAGAGAAATTCCCAACAGTAGATCCCAAATCTCCCCAAGTGAAAGACAATAATAACTCCCTGAATTAATCTATTGGGAATTTAATGTATCTAAAACTAATACAATGAAGTACAGGGCAAGTTCAAGTGCATCATTATTGGAGAAAGAAAACGAATAGATATTACAAGAAAACAAACAAACAAACAAACACTAACACATGAGAATTTGAGGCTATAGCTTTGCAAAAACAATCACCTCATGCCACATAATGAAAAACTCATTTGTAGTCACAACTGGCATTTGTTTGAACTCTTTGGTTCATTAAATTGACTAAAGACCCGTTTAAAACACTTCTATTATAAAATTCCTTTGTATACTTGCTTTAAAAAAAAAAAAACCAGAAGTCACAAAAAAAGTCGAAAATTTAATTTTTTTTGGAAGTGAAAAATTTTAACTTTTAAAAAAAAGCAAAATTCAAAATTCAAATATGTTTTTCAAAATCCAAATATTTTTTTTAAAAAATCTAAATAGCTTTAGTTTTTGTAAAAAATACTTCTAAAATAAGTAAGACACAAAAAAAAAAACACTTTTTTTTTAATTCATCCAAACAAAGCCATATCTTTTGTTGGTCCAGACAAATCAAAGGCTCATGTGTGTTTGTGTGAGCAACCACAAAAGAGAGAATCAAAGGCATGGGCAAGACAGAAATGGGTGAAGATATTTTATCTCAAGAGGGAAATAAAAAAATTGGATTGTAGGAAACAGAAGACATTCTTTTGGGGCCAAGGGAGTTGCCGAGTTGGTGAGGCAGTTATAAGAGGAGTTGTGAATGTCAGAAGTCCTTTGTGGCTGAAATGAAAAGAAAGAAAAAAGGATGCATTAATAATAGTAAGAGGACCATATTATCAGAGGCACCCTTTTCTCCTCAGCTGGTCCTTCTGTTATAGGAAAACTATATCTGCTTTCACAGTTTGTTTCTATGCAACTTGCTTAGCCTTTAATTAATGCTTAATAATGATTTGCAGCCACTTATTCCCTTCAATGACTCAACCTCTCCCACGCTTACTCAAGGATATATGTAAAAGAGAGTTGAAATCACACATAAAAAAATATCACATGATCTATTTCTATTTTATTTTTTTATATCGTCATCCTATGATTGAGTGTGAAGTTAAGCTATTAATATTTTCATTAAATAAATTTAATAACGCAGTTAAGTCTTTGAGCCTCTTTCAACTTCTGAACCCACATGTAAAAGTGCATCAGCTTTTGACTTTTCGCCAAAAGAAAATATTGCGCATAGTCAGTACCTCCGAGGCTGCAATGTTATTATATGAGGAAAATATACCCAAAGGCACGAAGAGCATTTATGTCCTGTCTTCATCATTAACAACCTCTTTGCACAAATTGGCTTCAAATCATGGTCCTCCCAGTCCCAGTTTGCTTATAATCAAGGAGCCATCAAAGTATAAAATATTCAAAATGCATCTTCTTATAAATTTTGTATTTATATCTTGTTTAACAGACATTAAATAGATGATAATATTTTAAAACTTGTGAAAATCTATCAAAAGAGAGATATATACCAAAATTTCACGTGATAAAGTCCTATAAAAATCTAACATGAAAAAATCCATTTCCAGAATATCTATTTTTTAACTTAATTATAGACAAAAGTATCATGTACCGAAAGTTATATACGTTGAGACCATATAATAATAACTGAAAAGCGAGGAGAACAAATATTGTGAGAGTTAGCTATGCTTTAAACTCCTCCCAAAAGTGGTATTGAGGAGGTGAGGATCTGTTTAGCTCTTATGTACTAACTGAGTTACCATCATTTGGTATTATTTTCTAATTCTAACAGCCATATATTTAACAAAAGGACAAAACAGAATCGAGAAGTGTGCATCTTTTCATGCAAGTCATCCCTTACCATAAGTTTCTTCTTTTACAAACTCTAAATTTCATTTCCGTAGAGGTTAAGAGGTCACATTGCACTTGAATTTGATAAAAAAAAAAAGAGAGAACAAGTAACCTAAATAAGCAATTTTTTTTGGAAAGGAAGATCTACCATAAAATACTACTTTCTTGTACAAGACTGAGTATGCAAAGTTTTGTAAAAGCATCCAAATATATCAACCAACATTTAACAACCAAATGTTCTCATGAGAAGTGATCAAAACTGGTAGGTGTTTTTAAATTAATCTACATTAATATGATTTTGCTTCTTGTACGAGCTTGTATACCTATTCTTACGGAATGCAGTAATCATACAAAAGTGGGGCATTCTTCTATTTTATAGTTGAAAAAGTTAAGCCCAACTATACCTAGATGATCCGTACAAATCAGGTACTGCACCTTCTCTGGTCCCTTACCTTTATTTACTTTCATGAATAATAATACATGATTTTGTTAACAAGAAAAACATAATTTATTATTATTATTATTATTTTTGGTAAAGAAACATAATTTAACATTGGATCTAATCTTTTGTTGTCTAAGTTGCTAACAAGCACAGCTATTTATTTGGTTGCACAAATTTTTTTCACACTTTTCTTTGCACCATCCCTTATCAGAATAAAAATGATTTGCAAATGAGGGTATTGAGATTTGGCATAACCTACTGCAAATAATTTTCAACCAGGAAAAAGAGAGAGAAGAGGTGGCACAGTGATGACATTCAAAGAAGCAGAAGTTTCATTAACATAAAACTTCTCTCACAGGGTATAATATAGAAGCTCTGTGAGGAAAACCTCAAACATTTGTACAATTTTCAACCCATGAAATCTTCATGGGTACAAAGTTAGATTCACATAATTGACATAAAAACCAAATAGTCTAACCCTCCCGGTCCCTTCCAAAAGAAAAAAAAAGAATGAGATGGAAAAATAGCAGATCGAGAATATTGATGAGAACCAAAATGGCTATGATGAAGGGAGATGCTAAAAAAAGAGAAGCAAAAGCTGCTGCTGCTTCATCTTGGTCATCATCCACTTCAATCAGAACCACCAAACATGTCCTTCTTTCATCTGATCATTGATGTTAGAGACTGAAAAACAACTTCTTCACAAGGAATAGTGATGCCCATATCATGATCAAAGCCGAATTCTTCTTCAGCTTGTCTAAGGAGGGATTGGAACTGAGGGTGAGCCAAGAAAGATATTGGGACAATGTACCTACTTCGTTTTTCACCAACATAGACAGCAAAGTGACCTTTTGGTACGTCAAGAGGTAGGACATCATCGTCATACTCATGCTTCTTTCCTAAGCTTGAACACCTTTTGAGGATTTGTTTCAAAACAGCACTTTGGGGAAGCTTGTTAGATTTTCTGATGGCCATTTTGAGTGAAACAGAAGGATGTGGTGGTTTTGAAACAAAGTTGGGTGTGTTAGGGACTTAAAAGACTTAAGAGAGATTGATAAGAGAGGGTAGAAGAAGTAGTTGTAGTTGTGATGGGAAAGGTAAGGGTTAAGAGGGGGTATTTATGGAGAGGTTAGGGAGATAGTGAAAGACAGAGAAAGAGAGGCAGAGAGGGTCATGTGGAGTGTGAGAGCAAAGGAGTAAGGACATACCACGGGTGTTTTCGGGTTTGTGTATTTGTGCAAGGACATGGTGGGAACCAAGCCCATTGGCTATGTTAGTCTATGTTTGTACTCCTGCCAGCAACATGGACCCAATTTCTCTTTAGTACAGCCTCAATACTACATGTACCTCTCTGCTTTCAACCTTGTTATTCAGATTTCTGCACCACCGAATTATCTTTCTTTGCTTTCCTTGAAAAGTTTTATTATTTGGGCTCTTTTGGATAATGCTTAAAGGACACAGCCTCTTCATAAACAATTTTTAATACCTGTCTTCTTTTCTCTTTTGACCCAAATTTTGGATAACCTAGTATTCTTTGGATTTTAATTTTGTTTTAGACTCTTTACGTGTATATATATATATATATATATATATTTTTTTTTTCAGAGCAAAAGTTTATTTCTCATCTTGTTCAGATATATAAAATCATTAATGTAACTTCACCTAAGAGTTTAAGTTTTGAGTTGAATTGATTCTTTACATGGTGTCAGAGCTCGGTGTACCGGATTCGATCCTCACTGCCCCCACTTTTTTTCAAGTGAAATTTCTTTCTTCGCACAGATAGGTGAGCCTGTGTATTGTCCACCTTTCAAGCCTAGTAGACTTTCATGCGAGATGGCATGTTGAGAGATATAAAATCATTAATGTAATCTCATCCAAGAACTTAAACTTTTGAGTTGAATTAGTTCTTTACACGTATATTTGTCACCCTTCCTGGCTTAATATTTTGGTACAGTTCATTTAAGATCTGTCCCAAAAAATGTGTGGCCTATATAGATCTCGGACAATTTTTTTTTTTAAGCACATAAATATGAGAGAATTTGTTTTATTTACATACAACTTGCGGATATCCCTCATACTTGTATAAACAAGCTTTTAATTTTATTTGGGTGTAGGTAACATCACTATCACAAAAAAATTAAAACTCATTTTATAGTGTTTAACTGATGTGTGACTGTTTGAGGAAATAAATAGAATTTTTTTTATATCGAATCCTACTCAATTCTCACCGCCAATTTCTCTATCATATATAGTGTGTTCATTGGTACAACTGTGCAAGTACAACCTGGCGATGGTTTGGCTTTTGTCATTGTTGGGCTTGTGAAACTGTGAACTGATGAGTGACACATGAAACAGAAACCCATGTGTCTGTTACAGTGTTACTCATCCTTTCCAGGTTTTGAACTCAGTATCATTTACTTTACCTTCAAAGTTCAAGTGCAAATTCGACCTTAGCAAATCCGATCCAATCCTAGCTATAAGATGCTTCTTCACCTTCCAATTTCATGAACAAATGTTTGACTATCATAGTTATGTAATCGACTAGTAATCTAATATCTATCTATTCTGTTTTTTTTTTTAAATAAAAAAGGGGTTAATTTAGAGCAAATCATAACCACCAAGCTAAGCTGTCGAGCAAATTTGAATGGGAAACTGGAGAGGTCATATTCAACAACGTGGTAGGTTGGTTGGTTGGTTCTTTTATTGGAAGACATTCATATTAATTGTTCGATAGCAAAAACAAACAAGAATAGACTACTCTATCAATGTATAACAAAATTGTTGAAAATTTTAAGCATAAATAATTAAATCGTATATTGGTAAGAAGTGAATTAAGGGAAAATCATATACATAAGAAAGACTACAGACTCTCATTGCCAATTTTGGACTCTCACAATTTGTAATAAAAGCTAGTTCATGCTTGTCAATTTCTCAACCTACATATTAATTGAATTGTTGCAGTGTGCGCTACTATGAGTAAGTGTCTCAACAATGCAGTGCTTCCCCATGTGGTCCTGCCTTAACCACGACCACTAACAGCAGAAAGACAATAAGACATAAATTATATCCAATATGCACCACCATTTAGGTTACTCAGCATCCATATTGCTTCGTTACCTTAGCATGTTCCCAGTCTCAGAAAGCGATCTTAGAAGGATAAACTCAGTGACACATATACTGGAGTGTCCTCGCTCAATGCCAAACTCCATGATAATTTGGAGGACAAACTCATAGGTACAAATTCAAGCACCTAAATGAGAATTTGCCTTGTTTTAATTCTATGGTGTAAAATTCTCACTCAAGTCAATTTTCACTACTCATCCGTCAAATTAATGATAAATCCACAGTGCTTTAATTTATCTCGTTATCATATTGAGCTGGAAAAAAAGTGAAGAATTTTTTGGATTTGCTATACTTTTTAAAGATAGATGCGATGAAAAAAGTGAGGGAGAGAAAAGGCAACAAAACAAAGGGTTTAATATTTCTAATGTTGTAAGAAATAAATTTATCTTTTACACTCACATAAAAATATGCAGGACCTATGTGAGTGAATATGAATCTCATACACTTTTATGTATAAATGTAGGAAATAAATTTATCTCTTTACAATGTGAGAAATAATAAACCCAAAAACAAAATGAATAGTTGGGATGAGAAGTTTGTGAGTTTGAAGGCATTACCGTTTGAAATATATTAACAATCTTAAGGTACACATAGGAAACCAAATAATTGGATGTCGCCTTCCTAGAATAGACTCTTCATGTTCTGTGAATGAGATTAATCGGAGAAAGAGAAGGATTTAAAATTAGGAAGAAACTTGAAAGGCCCCACCATTTTCACCAAAATGCGGAGCTCTGATGAGCAAATCAAAGAAGGGATGTTCTTTTAAGTTGATGGGGACTTGAACTTTACTTTGGCACATGAAGGCCATGTTACTCTTGCCCCTAAAATCCACTTGCTAAGGGTCTTATGAGATCACTCCAACCACTAGAAAACGGCTAGCGTTAACTCACCCGTCTACTTTCCTCACAACTTCTGTAAATTTGTAAATTGTCCTCAATTACTTTTGTCATTTCTGTTTTTTTTTTTTTTTTTTTTTTTTTTGACGAAAATGTGTGTAAATCAAATTAGTGTTCAAAAGAAACCCATAATGTTATAAAAAAAAAGAAAAAAAAGAAACCCATAAATCAAGGGAATGCCTATCTTGTAGATGTTCCAAAAGTGAATGGAGTTGCAGCTAATGATATCATAGGGACGTGAAGTTAGTAATATTTACACCTTTTGTGATGTGAATTGTCAGCAATGCTTGAATCCAGAATTGCAATCATACACATAAGGTGAGGATATCACTTGTTGACTTAAATGGGGAGCTTGACTTACCTAGAGGATGAAAATAGGCAAATTCTGTGTGCAAGCTTGTTAAATTTGGTTCGAGCACTATCAAGTTCATAACACAAACAGATGAAAATCATCAGTTAAAATTTGTTACAAGAGTTTATAAGTGTAAAAGTTTGTATTTATATAATTTTTTTTAAAAAAATAATAAAGAACCTGCCTTTATTGTACATAAAGTCGTCCTTTTTAGACGCATTAATTATTATACCAAATTAAAGCAATCCAATCATGTTTATACATAATTAATAAAACAACAATTAGATCTAAATATGAAATATCATAAATACCTCCCCGAATTACAATATTTTTTTTTGTCGAATTTGAGTTTCAAGAGTATTTTCAAACTCTTTCTCGGAAGCAATGCTGTTAAAATTGAGATTTTAAGTAAAATTGTAATATAAAAAAATCATGAAAACGTAAAAACATTTGGAATATTAATAATGAAAGTGTTGGGCATGACTCATACTTCGAATGCTGATGAAGGCCCTAGTTGTCGGAGTCAGCAAAAATGTAACTAGGGTCCCGCTCACCTGGGTCCGGGGGCAGCGCCCCATGCCCGTAGAGGTTAGGTACTGTCGTGGACCTCTGTTTTATTGTAATTTTCTTAGCAGTTTGGGCTAGGGCCCATGAATAGCTGTTGTTAGGATTTTGTAATCCTATTTATATTTGCCTTGTAAACCGAGAGACTTATAACGAATGTCAGTGAGGTGAATATAGTACAGACAAGCTGGACGTAGCCTATATTGGGTGAACCAGGGTAAATCGCTATGTCAGTCTCTCTACTCTTATCTCTTTTTCTGTTTTCTCGATTCTGTGTGATTGTGATTTCCAACAGAAAAAATAACTACGGAGTCTCTGATACCTTTCAGATAAAATTATTTTGATAACAAAATAATAAAATTATAAAATTATAGTGATAAATCAAGATTTTATGAGTATACTCTTAATCCTTACCTGGTGTAATGGTGTATGGTAACTGAATATGAAAGAAGGAGTTTAAGAACTTCAAAGCCTATATACACATCGCTTTGATACACTCTACCCATTAGAGTTAGTTATGCAATGTAATGGGCAATTGCTGAAAAGTGATGCTGAAAATAGATATGATGAGGTGGACTACTTTAATTTACTAAAAAGTGGTTACTGGAGATAGGAACGCAATTAGGTTGTAGAGCTCCCGGGCCCTTTGGTCCTGCAAGAGAGAAAAAAGTAAAGAGAGAGAGGGAGAAGAAAAAGGACCAAAAAATAAAATTCCGATAGGAACGATGATGACATGGACACATTAATTTGACTTAGTCCTCTGTGGCCAATCCAGCATTAACAATGATTATAAAAACACTTTTTTTTTATATCTTATTTTTAATAGTATGATTATTCAATAATTGTTGTTTTAATAAGAATCATTTATGGAAAGAAAGATGCCAATCATATCTGAATTCTATTATAAGACGTTTGTATGTTTCTATTATATTAAGAGTCTTATCCCTATCCAATTAATGAAAGCTTCTAATCTTAATCAGCAAAAGAAAATTTACCTTTAGGGCGTTCTTGTTTTAGTTTATAACAAAAATAGTTGATAATATATTGGGAAATATGTTATTGTACATATAAAAAATAAATGAAATTCATTTTTTTTCTTTTTTTTAGTTAATTATCTTTCTTTTTTTATGTATTACATAAAATAAAATTGTAACATGAGAAACATTTATGGAAAATAATTTTCTTATATTATAAGAAAAGAGTTATTTCATATAATAAAAATAAAATTACAAATGAGATTGACAGATAATAAAGAAGAAAAGAAAAGTAGAATTCATCTCTTTTTTATGTGTGTAAAAAGTTTATATCTTTTATATAACATAAAAAAAAGTTATTATCCATTATTTATATGTATAATAGTTGAGTTTTATAAGAGTTATATTGTAAGAAAAATGATTGTATAATGTTATAAAAATTCATTTTACGTGTCATAATTTTTTTTTTTTGCTTTAAAAAATATAAACTCCACAAAATATTATGTGTGTAAAAAAGTTTTTCTGATGTACAAACTAAAACCCACGTACAGAAATAATGCGCTCCACAACTGCAATGCCAATGTGCAGAGCAGGGCAGTGCGAAATGGGGCCTAAGTCTACTTTAAATCATGACATGTACTAACCGAAGTACCGAGGGGTCGGTCCTTGGTTAACATTGCATGCGTTGTTGTACGTACTAACTACTTTGTAGTTTTTGGACCGCTTATTGTATTGTACCTACTCAAACGAACGAGCATTAACATAGGAGTCTCACTTAGAATTACAAAACCATCCACAATAATAAAGCAGATGGTAGTTGAATTTTCCCATTAATGGCAAGCCCTAATAAAGTCTATTCCTATCTCAGTTACCTATCAAACCCACACAAATAACTGAATAAGTACATCTAATACATGCCTTCTTTAAAGGATCTAATTCTCCCACCTGACTGCACCAGTACAATATCAACTCATCCAATAAATTTTTAGTGCAATATCACCAGACTACATCATTTATATTTTGTAATATGTGAATAAAAAATATCATATTACATAAAAAAAAAAATTTAAATGACAGCTGATTAAATTATGTAATATTTTCTGTCCACGTGTCATAAAATAAATGATGACAGAATAAAAAGTATCATATTATTTGAAAAAATAATAATTAAATGACAACAAAGAAAATATATATTTCTTAGCTGGATAATATGTTATTTTGGTAATGCACACTTATTCTCAACCACTGATTTTATTCATTATATTTAACACGTGCCATAATCTATCTATATCAAAAGTTTAAATAAAAAATTATAATTTTATTAAATTTTTAAGACATCTCACGTACAAAAATCTTTTGAACTTTAAACATAATCAGTACACAAATTATCATACACTATGCTGGAATTTATTTTATATTTTAAAATAGGAAAGAATAAATTAAACTCTCGATAATATGATTATAAAAGCTATATTATATTGCAACTAATTATCACAAAATAAAAACAATCGCATATCTTATCCATATTTTTTACGGTCAAAATTACATCAAGAGCCATTTGAGATAAATTTTAAAAGTCAAGTTTTAATTAACTAAATTAAAAGTCAAGAGCTCAAATTAACAAACACTTTTGAGCACTAAATTGGTAATTATTTATTAAACAAATCAAAGACGGTGGAAAAAGAAAAAGAAAAAAGCAAGAGGCATTCAAACTACTCTCTCCCAATAGTATACTAGTTTATCCCTGCCAACATGATATATTTAATTTTATAGTTATACTGCTAAGTATACTTTAATAAACATAAAACAAAAAAACTACATTTGTTAATCTCTAGTGACTATATCGTTACACATTTGCCGCTTATATTTATTGGCAGAGCCAAACTTATCTTAAACAATTACAACATCGCAGACAAAATTGAAATAAATTATAATAAAACGAAAGAAAAACTAGCTGATGAGTGATGAAGGGCATATAATCAACCCATTCTCTGCTGTATGACTAATTAGAAAATACACCCCAAAGATCCTGATCGTACATCTATTGGTCAGAAGAAGATTTGAACTGCTGATGCTGTCCATCTATCAAACTTATCTGTCGTCTGAGTTTAGCAATATGAGCTTGAACCTAAGCCATTGGAAGGAGGAAATAACTGTCAATTGTCAACAATAGTTTTCTTACAAGGTTAAGATTATAGGGTCATTCAACAAAGCCTTCAAGAAAAGCTAAAACATATTCACAGTTTAAGTGACAAGAAAATAATATTCAACCGCCTACTCTTTCAGATCCTCGTTGTCATTCACTACTATCATAAATGAGGATACATAAGTAACAATAACTCAGGTAAACTACACCTTATCAAGAAAATATAAGAAAAAGGACTGTAATACAGACTTTAGCATACTGACAATGGTCAATGATTTGGAGAAATGAAAAAAAGTTCATCTACATTGCATAATCACAAAATTGGAAAGTATATCACGAAAAACGTCAGCATTGTATAATTTAGTTTTAACAGTTATTTATTATTTTAAAATTGAATTATGATATACATTCTGAATATTTATGCCGCACATAGAAAATTATTAGAACGTAGAGAACCCACAATATATTGATGATAATGGATGCCAGAATTAAATCCTTTAATGATGAACAAGCAGGAGTAATAAGCCACCACAATAGCCATTAAATAAAACTAGAATAATATTAATCTGCATATACAACATCTTTTCTGTCTTCTCTCTGCCCTTCCCCCTCCGCTGGCTCCCCACTTTCTTAGAAGTCGAAATAAATCATTTAATTACAAACGAGAATGTCAAACATGCACAGATCAGTACAGCCAATAATCTTACTTAAGAAAAATGTCTGTGCATTCTGTTTTAATAATTGAAAGGCATAATTCTTTTAAGTTCAACTAAACACAAAAATAAGCCAAAAACATTAGTCTTGAGTCTTGACTGCTGAGTCCTGAGTATGTGTTCTGAAGTGCAGAGCAAATATGCAGAAATTTTTTTCTCTAATAATCCATATATATTTCGATTTTGATAAAACCATAACCTTGCATCGAGATCATAATCCTTGGTGCTATCACATTTCTCTACAAAGAGACTACAGGTGCATCTATAAGCAAGGATGAAAGATTATACTTGCTGTCAATGGCTCATATAAATTTAACATCAAGACATCAACAATAGCTTTGACTTCCACAAAGATTATATACTTTAAATATGATATAAAGTATTATGTCAGTTGTACCTGCTGACGAGCTGCTGCAAGCTGTAAAAGCTCATCTGCTTCTGAGAAATTCATGAACCATTGGCTTAAGGAATGATCTTTGGTATCCCCTCTCCTTCTTTTACTTACATCCTCAACAGGTACTGCATTTATATTATACACTTTCTTTCAACTCAAGCATGGAAAAAAGAAAGCTGCAGATAACATCGGGTAATTGCTAAGTAACATACTGGGAGGAGGTAAGGTAAGCCCAGCAGGCAATCTTGGCAAGTTCACGGCTGGATGACTTTGCACACGAGCTAAAAAAGCCTCGGAAGGATCAGGGAATACTATCTCATCATAAAATTCCACAACAACAGGCTTCTTTGTGGACATGGAACTGTTTTCATCCTCTGGGTACAACTTCAAGTGATGATATCTGTATATATATTACACTTCAATAAAATACAAGATTCAGAAATTATTTTGACATTCACAAATAAATGGTGTGCAATCTGCATGATTAACAACAGTGAATACCAGTTGTATGGTCATCTAGTATATCATTAGATAATTCAAGCACTTGAGCCACATAGCTGCACTCCCTAACCAAACTTAGCGTAATAGATATTAGTTGTGTAGTCATCCAAGTTTATCATTATTAATAAAATGAAACACTAAGGTCAAATTGCTGTATATATCTAACTAAACTTAGCAAGGCATAGAACTGCACTCCTGCAGTATTCCAGAAGCATCAGCACATTATTGATGATATGTCAGGTGTTGAAACATACTAAGATGTTAGTTGAGATTTTGCCTACTCTTAACAGTATTTTCGAACATACTTTAAAACTCTGCACTGAATCAAGAAATCAGAGTATCAACAAAAGGCTCAGGAAACTTTTTTTCCCCCGAGTCAGCAACTAAATGAAAAGCTGTATCCAACAACTTACAAGTTCAAAGGCTTGTCACAAACATCGCTGTGGAAATAAAGTGTGATGGCAATTTCAAATTCACCCCATCCTGCCTCTGACAACTCAAAAGGCGGTGACTCCACAACCCTTGTGGGATTATTGAAACTAGAATGCAACTGAAAAACAGCACGCTTTACTATAGTCCCAAGATCCTCATTGGTTGCTCCACGAACATATATAGTCCATTTATGCGACTGATACCTTGCATAACATAAATATGGTCACTTCCTTACTTCAATATTTCTTTTGTTAAGGAAAAAAAAATTAACATTTGTTACTTCAAGAACCACATTAAACCAGCAATAGGGGTGGCAATGTAGGATACTTACTCGCTAGCCTTTTTGCCAAGCCAAAATGCTATGTTTCCATACACTATTGGAACGCTTGTTTCTACATCTTTGAGTTTCTTACCCAAGTTCTACACAAAACCCAAAAATGGTTATACTTATACAATCAATAAAAAAGCCTCCTTTAGTAAAATAAAGGGAATTTGTTTTAACGTTGTATGACATTCTGAAATCATATTTAACATTATGCACAGTGATTTTAAGGTTATTGTAGTACTGGGTGATGGTTCCAAATCAAATCTTCGAATTTGAATCGCTAAAGAAACCAAGCTGCAAGCTTTACACACTCATAAAAGAGTAGGGTTTGGGTAAACCGTCATTATGGCGATTTGGAAAATGGGATTTTATCCTGATTCGAATCGAAATAATGGTTACCTTCTTATCGTTGTCTTCGGACTTGCCCATTTTGGATCGCTGAGATTTGGGTGTAGGACCACTTAATTCAGACTGATCTTGACCTTGCTTTTTCGAAGATGAGCTGTTGATCATATCAATTTACGAGTTCGTCACAAAAATCGAAGCTGAATCTGAGCAACAAATTTTAGGGTTTGTGTGAGTCTGCCAAAATTACACATTATAGTTCATGCCTTTTACGACGTCGTTTGCGCAAGGATCACCTAATGGGCCCAATCCAAATCCCAAGTGGGCGTTTTGAAGAATGTTATTGGGGACTTGGAGTTTCGAACGGGCCAGCTGGAACAATTTTTTCATTTGTTTAAAATTTCAGAAAATTATTTAATAAAAAATAAGAATTCTAAAATTCATATAAAACTATTAAATTATCAATAAAACAACACTATATCTCAAAAATAAAAAAAATCAATTTTTTAAAGCTTTACTATGTACAATTAAAAGGGTAATGCATAGGTTAGTTGTAACTTTTAACTTATACTGAAATGCGGAATATGATAGATCATAAATATCATTGGTTATTGTTTTCCTTGATGTTTTAAATGGTTGCTATAACTTTGATGTGTAAAATTTCTATTAGCCTTCCAAACTCTTCTCTAAGGCCCAGATGATGTACAACTTTGTAGTAGAGTGAGCTTAGGAACTCGTGAAGCTAAAAATGCATCCTTTTATAGAATCCTCCATCATAGAGTTCGTTCAAGTGTGCACTGAAGATGAGTTCAATTGATGGCAGACCAAAAAACAAAACTTAGTTGATGATTGCAGACCAAAACCAAAAGCAGGTGAGGTAGATTATCTTTTATCAGAAGTGAACAACATAGGTGAGGTTGATGGAAGACCAAAACCAAAATTATGTACTCCATTATGCAATCTATTATTATTAGCGGACAATGTAAATGGACCACATAGATCACACCACCACTGACACATTTTTACTAACATTACTTATTTACAATATTATTCCTCCGTCTCTTTTATTCCCCCTTCCCCCCACCCCCAACACACACCCATAATTTTGAATACTCACTGCACAAAACCTAGGAATGTATCCTCTTTTGGAAAGATTTGAAGTGTTTGGTTTCCAGGGAAAAATCAATCCAAACAAGTATAAGGTTGAATGTGGATAAGAAAGAATGTACATTCCTTGATAACTAATGATCAAATGCCATCAACACAACCTTGTACAATAGGTTCACTTATAATGTGTTTTGCTTCTAAACTAATGCTCTCCCTTCTTTAATATTTTGTGAGGTTGTAGTAGTAATTGTTGGAGGTTATGGTTTGAGACAGAAGGGTTTTAAGGTGCTTGAAATATTACACCAAGAGATATCAAATTTGAAATGCTCAAAGTTTAGAAAATCCTAAAATATTGGGCTCCAGTCCATATGGGACCAAATAGCCATGCTTTCACTTATTGTATGTGAATATATTATTGAATTATATTATTAATATTTCCAACAAACACATATTTGATAATATTCTTTGGTTTACTTGATCCAACAACTAACAATTCCTAGCCTTATCTAAATGCTTAAGGAAGGTACACATGCTATCAGTTTCATGATCACTATGTAGTATGCATGAGATGTCTCAAGCGTGTTTGGAACACAAATAAGCAAACCAGCTGCTGTTAAGTTTAGACAAGCATTAGTTGTTGACCTGTGTAGATTTCTCTGGTTGCAAGTTCCAAGTGGGTACCATCTTGCTAGTTCGTGAAAAAAGTGGGGCATTCAGATTCACATAATTTCTTCCTCTTCGATAAAAAGACATCCTAGACAGTATCATGTGATCCTTCAAACATAAAATTCTCTCGTTGATATTTTACATGTAGTCTTTCTCAACTTATGATACGCTTTCCACTTGGTAGTAATTATCGTAGCAGAGCAGATTAAGTCGCACATGTGCATGATAAGTTTAATTGTCCATGCCTTGTTTTACATTTTACAGTGGCCCTGATTTGTCTCATCCACTTTACATTTATACATGCAAGGTAGAGGAACAAATTTTCCTTGTATTAATTATTGTCTCTACTCTCAATTGTTTCGTAAAAGGAAAAATTGTATGTATGTGCCAACAATTTCTAAGCCTTATCTAAATGTTTATGGTCCATGGTATTAGTTGCCTGTTCAATATGAAGCGAACATGATGTCTCAAATGTGTATAGAGCACTATACGTCAGCTATTAAATTCTTTAGACAAGCATTAGGTTTAGATGTTATAGATTTCTCTTTTTCAACCTTCAAGTGGGTATGTTCTTCAAAACAGTGCTCACTTAATTTCTTCATCTTTCGTCCTAGACAGTATCATGTGATCCTTCACGCCTATGTTTCTCACTAGACCCCATTTGGATAGCTCTTCATCAATCATTTTTGTACCTAAATGGTTTTCCAAAGCCTTCTCTTTATCTATATATACAGATTGTAATAGTTGCAGTCACAAACAAGTCAAATCCTGTGCATTTTTTAAGCACCAACTATTTCTTACCCAAGTCTTTTCAAATCATCCTCTTGATTTGCAATGGGTTTCCGTTTGCCTGGTCTTCAAAGGCGCACTGATGTTCCAAAGGGCTATCTTGCAGTTTATGTTGGTGAAAACCAAAAGAAGCGGTTTGTGATTCCTATATCATACTTGAACCAACCTTCAATCCAAGACCTGCTGAGTCAAGTTGAACAAGAATTTGGATTTGATCATCCAATGGGTGGCCTTACAATTCCTTGTAGAGAAGATGTCTTCCTAGAAATCACTTCTCGCTTGCATAGGTCATAAAAGAGAAAATTGAAATGAAGATGGCCAATGACCAATTCAATTTTGTACACAAAATACATAGTCTAACATTGTAAAATTTTTTTCTTTCTTTCTTGTCTTTCCCAGAGAATTGGAAAATGTACCCAGACAGATTATTGCAATTCCCTCAGTATAATTTAGTTGGATTTCTTTTATAAACTTTCCAATGACCCTTTATTACAAGTTATTAGGTGGATGATTGTCTATTTTCTATGGCAGACTAAAATATACTAGCAGGATCATATTTTTACTCGTGCATGAACCTGGTTACTAACCACTCCCGGAGTCCCGTGGTGATGATCTGCACGTGGTATTTGTGCTTCCTTCTTTACATTGCTTTTATAAAAAAACAGGAACCAAACCTTTTCTTTCTTTCTTTATTTCAATATTCTTCATGATCAAAACACAACTTTTTGACAGGATAAATTGGGAAACATTGTTAATGATTTAGGTGATGGTCCATGATGAGAGATTCAAAAATCTAAATCCTTTTCTAAAATCTTTGTGATGCAGATTTTTACATAGTACCTCTGATTGTGTACTTAAATATGCATGAAAATAATTCTAGTACCTATGAAACACTGAATAATTTTTTGCATTATTTCCAATATAGTCAAGGAACAGTTGCATTAAGATGATATTGAATTCATGAACCTCTGTTAAGTTGGAGTATTTGATCAATAAATATGTAGGGAACACAAGAGTTGTATTTGAACAATAATTTTTCATTTTAATTCCACCAAAATTGAGAATATCTTCCATTACTGTTGCCAAATTTAGGTCAATACAGTAGAAGTGATGATTCATGTATTGCTGCCCAATAAGAAATTAATAATCCATGTGATGGTGCTGCTTGATAAGGAAAATGGAAGAATCGATGACCTTTATAAAATGGGAATAATTTTTCAGTGATGATAGAATGGGAAGGGGCACTAAATTAACTGAAGATAATTATTCTGTTGTGCTGAAAGCAGGAATTAAATGAGCCACATATTGAAGAATCTAGAAACGAGTGGCTAAAGCTGTTTCAGTACAAATGAGTTTTGTGGTCCATGTTCGGCTCAAGGACATATTGAAGTACAATAGGTCAGCACTAAGCCAATAATGACTATTGTCAAGTTTGGTCAATATCTCCAAAATAATTACTTCTCTTAATCCCTACTAAAACCTGATCACCTGTTATATATTAGGGTTTTATGAGTATAATGTCGTAGGATATAAGAAAATTTTCCTACTCTCACAATAAAGAAATAAAGAAGAGAGAGAAAGTGAAATGATGTAAAAAAAAAAACACGTGGACCTCACCTCTTAATTGTGTGTGTAAGAAAGTTTTATTGGGTCATGTAACATGATACTAATAAAACCCTATATATTAACCGGAATTTAATAATGATACTGGTGCACACACACACACATATATATATATATATATATATATATATATATATATATATATAAGGGATAGGATCCATTGACACCGGTGTCAAATTTTGAAATTTGACATCAAATTCTAACCGTTGATTTTCGCCAATCAATGGTTATCATTTATTGGCAATTGATGATTAATTAATAAGTGTAATTCTCAATAAATGATAACCGTTGATTGGCGAAAATCAACGGTTAAGATTTAGTATCAAATTTTAAAGTTCGACACCGGTGTCAAAGATCTCCCTATATATATACATATATATTAGAATTAATTGAGATTTGGCAGAAGTTAAAAATGTTTTGACAACGTATTGTCATAACTTTCTCAATAACATTTTCCCACTTCCAAAGGAATTAATCATACAAGAAAGAAACTAAAATGGAAAACCTTTAAACTGAAAAAGAATGCCTTCTGTACAAATTTGCCTCTTCTAATCTATCTCAATCTCCATTAGATTGTCACAGCCCATTCAAGCGAGAAGTGAGGCTTAGGAACTCATCTTCCATGCATGGAATTGTGAGACCACCTGTTGGATGATCATATCCGAATTCTTCTTCTGATTGACTTAGTAATTCTTGAAATGAAGGCTGGTTCAAGTACGATATAGGAATCACAAACCGCCTCATTTTATCTCCAACATACACTGCAAAATAGCCTTTTGGTACTTCAAACCCCTTAGAGGCTGCTTGGGTTGCAGAAAATGATGTCCGTCTAATACCTGGTATACGGAAACCCATGTTGCTTCACACAATAAACAAAATATTGATCTCAAAGGACTTGTATAAGAAATAAATATTTGAGTTCTTATGCTTCAGGATACAAATGACTTGTGTTGCTAGACAGAACCCAAGAACCAGTGTATATAAGGGCCTCTGGAGTCCAATTCCACAATATTAATGAATGATTTTGACGGGACTATGATGGGGTCTACTAAGAGACACGGGATCACATGGTATTGTCTTAGAAGACTCTTTCAAGGATTAGGAAGTTAAATGGGAGTGCATGCCCCACCTTCTGAGATAAAAACCAACTGATGGCCCATTTGAAATTAAAGAGTCATCTGAATAGGTGAAACCAAATGTTTGTTCATGTATTGTGCTGTAGCTAATCCAATGGTAGACATGTTTTAGACATCTCACATGTTACTTAGGATTGACAATGCTGCCGATATACATATACCAACTAATATCACATTAATGGTATGCAACCTCCATGAAACAATGTTTAGAGGCTAGAAGATAACCAATGTTTACATGATCACGAGCTACTACGAACCACATTTTTTATGTTCATCAGATTCTAAGCAACACCCCGTGAAATTTGTATACATGAAGTTGGCGGCCCCCACATCCCAAAAATAAGTGTCAACATGTTCCCATTAGACTTTCTTTTGCTCACATACGTCAGTTTTATTTCAAGCGAGGTGATCCGTTGGCCTTCGGTCCAGAAGGTGGGACTTATGTTATCTACAATAACGTGTTACATTGATCCTTGAGAAAGTGCTCTAAGACAAACACCATGTGACCTCTTAATGCCATTGTCTCCCATCTGATAGCCCTCCTCCACTGATCATTCAAGTTTCTAACATATCCATTTATCTATATATATTCATGGCTGCAAGCATTCAGAACCAACTCAAATCATTCACATCCTGAAACATTCGAAATTCAAAAGCTTGCATATTATTTACAAGTCTTTTTTTAAGACCATTCTCAAGTTTCAACACATAGACCAATGGGTTTTCGTTTACCTGGTATCAGAAGGGCGTCATTAGCTGCAAACCAAACATCTTCAAAAGCTGTGGACGTGCCAAAGGGCTATCTTGCAGTGTATGTTGGAGAGAAAATGAAGCGGTTTGTGATCCCAATTTCATACTTGAGCCAACCTTCGTTCCAAGACTTGCTGAGTCAAGCTGAGGAAGAGTTTGGATATGATCATCCCATGGGTGGCCTTATATAATAGCCCTAACCTAATTAATTAGCAAATTGCATGTAATTAAATAATTAAGCATGTTTTAATGAGTAAAATTAAGTATAAGGCTTAATTAAATGAATCTGAGTCACTTTGAAGTTAAAAAGTGTACTCAGTGAAAATTAAGGGGTATAAATGGGTACTGGCGAAAGTGCCCAAAATATAAAAATAAAATTGTAAATATTCCTAGAATAATATTCCAGACTTTTGGGTAAAGTTTGGTAATTAATGGAGTTGAATAGATAGACGAACCAATACCCGCCTAAAGTCACTTAACCTATGTTAAGTGACTAAAGAACAAAAGGAACCCCAAACCCCCCAGAAACCCGTCGAGCCAGAAAAGAAGAAGGAGGAGAAGGAGGAGAAAGGGAGAGAGAAGAAGAGAGAGGGAAACCCTAGGGAGAGCAATCCTCCACCGATTGGAGTGATTCAAAAGCCTAAACCACTCTAAATCTTTCCCTCATCACTAATCCTAGCTTGGTTCTTGGTGGGGAGTGTTGTGTTGTGAGATATCATCCCCCAAAATTTCGACCCATTGATGATTGGGTGTCATGGAGGAGTCCATTGCTTGAAGTGATGCTTGGAACCTCTTCCTTGGGTGTCTTCTAGGTGAGTTCATGTCTTGATGCAATTCCTTCCATGAGTTTTATGGTGATGGCTATGTTAGGGTTTCATTGAGAAAGATGTATGCATGGTGGGGTAAATTAGAGCTTGATTAAAGTTAAGTTCCTTTGTAAATGTTGCTAGTGATGATAAATAAACAGTAGAAATGCGTTTAGATGGTCATTTAGTTGTTGTTCCATGTATTAGAAAATTTATGCTTGAAGTATTGATTTTCTAGTAGTGTAAGACATGGTTTGGTTGGTTGGGTATTGATTGTGCCTTGTTGTGTTAGGATTGAGGCATTTGGGCCAACCTTGAGAAACCAACCATTGGAGCAAGCTATGGAGCTTGATTAGCTCCATTGGATAGGTGAGTTCATGCTTATGTTTGGTATGAATTGTATAGCTTGGTTGATAGCTATGAGATGTTATTGGATGCAATATGTGTTAATTGCATTAAACCTTGTGTAGGTTTTGTTTGAGAAGTGAAGTATTGTAATTGACTGACTGTGGAACCTGTTGGTGGTGAACAAAGGTTGACTGAAGCATTGAGGTAAGCCTTCGGACCTTGGGTGTAATTCCCTTGATTGTTCCACCAAGCCCTGAAAGGGTAGTGGTGATTATAGTGTATATAAATGCAATAAAATAGTGTAATGCTTTGTTATACGTATGTGTATGCATTTGGTGTGGCATAGGATGGTGTTTCCCTATGTTGGTATGTGGCATGACGATGCGTAAATCATACTTGGTAGTTAGCTGGCCAGTAGGACTATTTGCATCTGAGTTTCCTTAGGACAGCTCGAGAGCTCGAGGGATTTCTCCTGGAGATGTATTGCACTTTGCATAGATATGTATTTACTGCATTATTATTGTTATTGCTATTACACTGATATGGAACTGTGGGGTGGAGAGATGCTCCAAGGACCCCTGGTTTACTGGATATATTCGTATATCTCACCCCGTGTTGTGGGGACCCCCTTTCAGGTGAGGATGCTGCAGGAGCCTCTGGTGGCAAGTGGCCATATCTGGATTATGCATGAAATGTGGCATTTCTTTTGAGATTGTACATGTTGTTTTGTAGCTCACATGTATAGAATTAAATGAATAGGCAATGCTAGATTTATGATTTGTATATTGGAATGGACTTAGCCTATGCTCATGCCTTTGGTCATCTCTTTTGTTGATGAGAGCCAAGGGAATGATCATAGTATTTTGTAAGCTAAGTTCCATGATTTGTAATGGGTATGTAATGTAAATGATGCCACTTGAAATTCAGATATGCATGCTTTTATGTATTGAGTTATTGAATTGGTTGGGCTGAGAAATCTTATTAGGTACCTAGTTCTAAATTGGGAATTGTTGAGAAAACAAGGGTTATGCTGCCCAAATTTTAGTACAAGCCATGAGGAAAAGGGCATGCATGTCCCTTTAGATGTGTTTGTATTATGCAAGAACTAAGAACCATTTATGAAGAGGAAATTATATGATAGGTTGGGACGGTGGTGTATGTATGGAAGTTGTAGATATTTTTCTTAGCTTTCCATAGAGACCAATATTGTGTGAATTGGACATGTATAACTCTAGTTAGAGGTAAAATACTAAGAATTGGTGAAACCTTCAGAGCTTTGGCGCATCTGGCGCCAAACTTGGCGCACATCACGCCATTTTGCTTGAAAGCTTCTGTTTCGTGGCGCAATTCGCGCCGGAGTTGGCGCAAATCGCGCCGGGATCACCAGCTGGCGCACCTGGCGCCAACCTTGGCGCCTCCAGCGCCATTTCGATGGGGAGCTTCTGTTTCGTTGGCGCCCGCCGCGCCACAGCTGGCGCCGGTCGCGCCGGGATCAGCAGGATTCACGCGCTCGTTTCGTAGAAAACCCATAACTTGGGCTACAGTGCTCCGATTTGAGCGCGGTTTGAACCCACGCGTAGCTAACGAAGAGATCTACAATATAGTAGAAGTTGTGAAATAAACAAGAAGTAAATTAATGGTTTAGAAATGGAGTAATAACATGATGTTAAGCTTGGTTTATCTGGTTCCGCAAGGTAATATGGTTATGATCACGCAATTGGATATTTTAAATTCGGCGTCGTTTTAAAAAGAAAAATTTATCCGGATTTTTAATTGAGCCAATGTGATTGTAACTGCGCTTAATATCATAATGCGATGTTAACAAACCGGTTCTAGAACGGGGTGTTACACCTTACAATTCCTTGCAGCGAAGATGCGTTCCAACATATCACTTCTCGCTTGAATGGCCTATAATTATAAATCTCACACCATACGAAACTGACATGGATTAGTAGAGACATTTTTGTACAACTTCAATAGGCATCATCCTAACTTGTAAAGATCCTCTTTCTCATAGAACGGGAGAGAGAGAGAGAAAAAAAAAACAATCAGAATGACAAATTCATGTCTTCTGTTTTATATGTAATGACAATGAATTCAACTACTCAAGCGGATTCTCTGTATTTTCTGTTTATTATTAACAAAATTACAATGTTCACTTCTCCCTGCACTTAGGATCTTACCAAGTATGAGCAAGGTTGCTTGCTGTAAGAAAAACCAGACTTTTGATATGATAAATTTCAAAACAGGAATAGAACACGTGATTCCTAGCAAGTGCTGAGCAAAAGTATTTTTCCTAGGACCAAGAAAAGGATAAATTTATTTGGGACAGAGTTAAAATATATACTAATTAAAAATATGCATAATATTCATATGAAATTAAAATTTCGGGGTGACAAGGTTCAATCATATATGAGGTACCTTCCCTGCATAGGCAGGTGAGCAGCAATGGACTTAGTATCATGGTTTAATTATTCCCTTGAATCACACTTGCCTAATTCCATAGCAAAAGCTTTTTCTCACAATATTGACGTATGGTTTATCCATTATTCCATATTTGTATTTTTTTTTTCTGTCTGTAATAAAGTTTTAGATATGCGTCAAAATTTCCAAATTTCATTGATCAGGGCTGTAATTATCAGATTTCGGTGCTAGTTCTGCTGACGGTCAACCACAGTTGCTCAACAACTTCAGATGTTCTCATTCTAACTAGCTCGGTGGCCGAAGTTGAAAATTGATAAAAAGAAAGATCTAAATTCTTTAAGAAACCCAAATTTCTATATTTGTTAGCTTATGGTATTTAGGGAATCTCTTTGAAGATCGCCTTGTATCTAAACGCTTCGTAGCAAGACCACAGGAAAAGCTCACAAACTATGGCTTGGCTCTATCAACTGGATATTTATCTTGTCAGAGCAATTTAGCAAATCAATAAAGTTCTAAATTTATTATTATTATTATTATTTTAATGATGGAACAGGGTTATAAGTAACTATATTTTTTGTCTTGCATGGACTATATAATGGATGTACATCTTGTACTACTTTTGTTACGGGGAGGGTGCAACAGATCTACATAACCACTCTACCGTAGACAATCTTTATTTTACTCTTAGTGGTTAGGGAAGTGGTTAGCTCAAGTCTGGGATCATGCCCTCCATTTACTAGTGATATTAGTCAGTAACAAAGGATATTGTCACAAAATGTGGTCTTCCTTTGCCTCCAATTCCATTATTATTTTATAGTTATCAGTTAGATTTATGGTCTGTATACTAGATTCCAAGAACTGGCAGTTTATCAATATGAATAACTTATGTGATGTGTTTGGAGCCTGTCTGGAACATAAGAAGGCCATTGCATCGGCTTTGCAATTATTAGTTTTTTGGCTGTAAAGTCTCTTTCTGTTGACATGAATTGTCAAATCTCAAGTACTGGTATTTTATCAATACGAAGAACTTATGTGATAAGTTTTGAGCCTGTCTGGAAAATAAGAAAGCCATCACATCAACTATGCAATTATTAGCTTATTGGCTGTAAAAGTCTCTTTCTAAAGGGGCAACCAAGTTGGCATGAATTTTGAAATCTGAAGTAATACTTGATAAAAACCATTAAGACAATACCATGTGACATATCACTAGCCCTTGTCTCTCACTAGACCCCATCAAATAGCCCACCAACCATTCAATTCAGTAGAGATTTGTTTCCTCAAACTCTCATATCTATCTATATATATACTCATTATGGCATTCTCAACCAATACAAGTCATTCAAAAAATTGAGAATTCAGATATTTCTTTCTCACACAAGCTCTTGCATTTATTGTATTGTTCTTGGTGTTTTGCAACTCGTAACAATGGGCTTCCGTTTACCAGGTATTAGAAGGGCATCATTTGCTGTAACCCAAGCAGCTTCCAAGGCTGTGGAAGTCCCAAAAGGGTATCATGCAGTGTATGTTGGAGAGAAAATGAAGCGGTTTGTGATTCCCATTTCATACTTGAATCAACCTTCATTTCAAGAATTACTAAGCAAAGCAGAAGAAGAATTCGGATATATTAGAGGAGAAAGAAAACTGAATGTATTTTCATATTCATTGATTGAATTATAATGTGTACAGTACATAGCAATTTATACAGAAGAAAAGAATGCTTCTAGAACCTATTCTGTTCTAACTAACTTGCGTATTCTCAGGAAAGGAATAAAAAGAATAAAAGGAATAAAAATCTAAAACTGATAACAAAAACTATAACAGAATGATAAAACAGTAAATTACAAAACTATCCCACTCTTAATACTCCCCCTCAAGGTGGGAAATAAATTTTTGAAATTCCCATCTTGGACAGCAGTGCAGCAAATTGTGTAGGAAACAGAGGTTTAGTTAACAAATCTGCTAACTGATTCTGGGAGCTGACATGTAAAGCTTTAACTTCACCTCTGATTATTTTTTCTCTCACCAAGTGACAAAAAATGTCAATGTGTTTTGTTCTCTCATGCAAAACAGAATTTTCAGCTATGTGAAGAGCTGCTTGATTGTCACAAAATAATAAGGCTGGACCATCATGCTTTAAATTCAATTCATGCAACAGAGTGCTAATCCAAGTTAAGTCACAACAAACATTGGCCATAGCCCTGTATTCAGCCTCTGCAGAGGATCTTGAAACTGTCGTTTGCTTCTTTGACTTCCATGACACCAAAGATTCACCAATAAAAACTGCATAACCTGTAACAGACCTTCTTGTGTCACAACATGAGGCCCAGTCTGAGTCTGCAAATGCTTTCAGCTTTATACCATTCTCAGAACCATAGAACAGCCCCTGCCCAGCAGTCCCTTTGATGTATTGCAGCAGTCTATTCGCAGCAGTCTATTCGCAGCTTGCATATGAGGTTCTCTTGGATGTGCAAGAAATTGGCTCAACTTATTTACAGCAAAACAAATATCTGGCCTAGTAATAGTCAAATATAACAATCTTCTAATCAATCTTCTATAAGTAGTTGAATCATCTAACAGTTTTCCCTCTTCTAAAGACAATTTAGCATTTGGCTCCATAGGAGTGGATTTGGGTTTGCAACCCAAGTAACCAGAATCTGATAGGATTTTCAAAGCATAACCTCTCTGATTCAAGGATATTCCTTTATGATTGCGGGCTATCTCAATCCCAAGAAAATATTTCAATTCTCCAATATCTTTTAACTTGAAAAATTGATTTAAAAATATTTTCAGACTAGCAACTTCAGCAGGGTTATTACCAGCCACAATAATATCATCTACGTATACTAAGAGACCCAAAAAATTAGAACCATTAATTTTAACAAACAGAGAATGATCTGCAGAGGATTGTTTGAAACCATTTGATGTCAAAACTGAAGAAAACTTTAGAAACCACTGTCTGGATGCTTGTTTTAGACCATAAAGTGACTTGTGTAACTTACAAACAAGGTTGGAAGGTAAAGGCTCCCCCTCACGGTGATAACCAAGTGGAGGCCGCATGTAAACCTCCTCCGAAAGATCACCGTGCAAAAAAGCATTGTTGATATCCAAATGGTGGAGAGACCAACCTGAAATAGAAGCCAAAGCAAGTAATATTCTCACAGAACTAATCTTAGCCACAGGGGAAAAGGTCTCAAAGTAGTCAATGCCCTCTTATTGAGTGAAACCTTGGGCAACCAAACGAGCCTTGTACCTCTCCAAGGACCCATCAGCATTAAGTTTACACTTGAAAACCCATTTGCAACCAATTGCACGTTTTCCATGAGGTAAAGGAACCAAAGACCAAGTACCATTTGATTCCAAGACATCTAACTCAAGGGTCATAGCTTGCTGCCATAAAGGGTTTTGAGATGCTTCATGGTATGTGGAAGGCTCAATATGATGGGATACCGAATTAATGAAAGCCTGAAAAGAGGGTGATAGGCGGCTGTATGATAAAACAGATGAAAGAGGATAGGGAATAGTGGAAACGGTAGAACAA